TCGTCAGAGTACACTACTGTAAATTCTTTTTTGAGGACCTAAGACCCTGTACAAGGACACAGGTCCACAGAAGCTACCTTAACAAGTACTAAGTGTCACTGTCACTTTAGTAAAAGCTTTCTGTGGTAGTGTGAAACCAGGCTGTCCCTGTACTTCGGAAATATTTTCAGGTTGAGTCAATGAAATTAAAAATAAATTTCCAAAGTCAAAATACTGAGTCTTCAGTTTTATACCCTATTCATGTTAAACACTCTTTTTTTTTTCATGAATACCACTGAATTCCCTAATCTGACCACTGCTCCAACATGCAATAGCCAAAACCACATTGCCATGACAATCCTCTATGTTCCTTTACCTCTCAAACTTGATTTCTTCCCCCACTCTTTATTGAAACATAACAATTAGTTGCTCATATTTACATTGTACAATTCAATGAGTTTTTTTTTTTTCAATTATAGTTGGCATATAATACATTAGTTTCAGTTGTATAGCATAGTACTTAGAGATCTATATAACTCAGAGTAATCACCCCACTAAATTAGGTACCCTTCTTCCCCCTTACTTACATTATTGACTATTTTCCTTATGCTACACTTTTTATCTCCATGACTATTTTGTAACTATCTGTTTGTACTTCTTAATCTCTTTGCCCCTTTTCACCGTCCCTCCAATCCCCCTCCTGTATAATAGCCACTATGAGTTTGTTTTTGTTGTTTTTTATTTAGTTTTGATTCCACACACACATGAAATCATGTGGTATTTGTCTTTCTCTATCAGATTTACTCCATTCAGCACAATACCCTCTAGGTCCGTCAAGGCAATGTCTTTTTCCATCTCTCTCTTTTTAGTCTGTGTGTGTCTTTTAATCTGAAGTCTCTTGTAGGATGCATGTGTCAGGGTCTTGTTTTCTTAGCCATTCAGCCACCCTATCCTTTGTTTGGAGCACTTCATTCTTTTCTATTTGAGCTACTTGTTCATAGATATGTAGTTATTATCATTCTTTATTCATGTTTTCGATACATGTTTTTTCTTCTTAAAGAAGTCTCTCCAACATTTCCTGTAATACTGACTTGGGGTTGATGAATTCCTTTAGCTTTTTTTTTTTTTTTTTTTAGTCTAGGAAGTTCTCTATCTGTCCTTTGACTCTTAAGTGATAACTTTGCTGGGTAAAGTATTTTTGGTTGTAGATCCAAGGTTTTCATCACTTTGAATATTTTGTGCCAAGTCCTTCCTGCAAAGTTTCTTTCGAGAAATCAGCTACCAGTCTTCTGAGTGCTCCCTTGTAGATAACTGCTTTTCTCTTGCTGCTTTTAAGATTCTCTTTGTATTTAAACCTTTGGCATTTTAATTATGATGTGTCTTGGTATGGGGGCCTCTTTGGGTTCCTCTTTTGGGGGACTCTCTGAGCTTTCAGGGGTTGTTTATCTATTTCCTTCACCATATTGGGGAAGTTTTCCATCATTACTCCTTCAAATAGGTTTTTAACTTCTTGTTCTCCCTCTTCTCTTTCAAGTACCCCTATGACACAGATGTTGTCACATTTAATTCTGTCTCATAGGTTCCTTAAATAATTATTTTAATCTTGGCTTTTTTCTTGCCATTCTGATTGAGTGTCCTTGGGTTCCCCATCTGTGTTGGTGGTTCAATCCTCTTCTTCATCCACTGTCAATTCTCTCTAATATACACATCATCTCAGATAATGTATTCATTATTTTTGACTGGTTCCCTTTTATAATTTACATTTTTATGTTTTTTATGTTAAAGTTCTCACTGAGTTCATCTACTCTTACCCTAAGTTCATTAAGCATCCTTATAACCAGTGTTTTGAACTCTGCATCTGTTAGATTGCTTGACTCCATTTTTCCTGGAGCTCTGTTCTTTCATGTAGGTTCTGCCTCTCTGTCTTCCCATTTTGGCTGCCTTTCATGTCTGTTTCTATGTACTAAGCAAAGCTCCTAAGTCTCCCGGTCTTATTAGCGTGGCTTTGTGTAATACATGCCCAGTGGCACGGTCCTGAGAGGGGTTCAGCTACAGGCCAAGTTTAGCCCTGGCATGTGTCCCTCTGGGGCCACCTGTTAAGATTCAGCAAGCCGTCCACAGATACTGTATTTATAGTTGCCTCAAGAAGCCACTCCAGAAACCGAGGTCAGCTGCCACCAGTGTGGGTCTTGGAGCTCCTCAGCAAGGGACACAGGACTCTCCGAGGATACACTGGATGTGGCTTGGGTGGGGCAATGAGTTGGGGGAGGCGGAGTGACCTCTGTTATCCAGTTTGATGATGTCTCAGCTATGGCGGCGCTGCCTCTACAGGCTGGGAGCGCAGAAGGCTTAACAGAGGAACAATGGATACCTCCAGCAGAAGCCTCAACTCAGGCCCTCACTCCAACAACTCAGTGTTCCCCTGTAAGCCCATGGTGCCCCACAAGCAGCCAACCCGGCGCTGGTGCTCAGAGCAAGCAGGTCTAAAAGTCCACTCGCGGACATGGCCCCTTTAACAAGCTCCTGCAGCTGCCATAGCCTCTGTCCCACTTAGCTCCTCAGGACCAGGCAGCCTCGTGTCTTTGCCCCCTCCTACCTTCTACCATTGCAGAGTAATTTCTTATTTCTCTCCCTAGTTGTAGGATTTCTGTTCATCTAGACCCCAGGTGACTCTGCTTACTGTTTGCTCCGTGTTTCTGTCACAACTTTGATGTGGTCGCAAGACAAGATGAACAAAGCCTCTTATCATCTATGCCATTTTTCCCAGTCTCCCCTTACCCGAATTTTTAAATTATTTAGCAAGCAAAATAAGTGGTATATTTAACCTACATACAAAAGCACTTTTTCAGGGTCCACTGGTTAGCCAAATGGGTAATTACAATTTAGTTTTTTCTTCTTTAGTAAGTCATATTGGATCGCACATCTTTTATTGCTTGCTGAATGTACTTAACATATCATTAAAGTCATATCTTTTAAAATATTTTGTGATTCAGGCTTGTTAGTATTTTAGTTAGCTAATTAGCCAGAATTAATAAAGTTTTACTGTATGTGTACACAAACAACATAGCAGGAGAGGGAAAAAAAAAAATCTCTGGATTATAAGTCAGCCTCTTAAACAGGTCCCAGCGTTAAAACAGACTGTATAACTTTGGCCAGGTTACTTAATTTCTCTGTGCTTCTGGTTACTCTTTGCAAAAGCATTTTTCCTGAATTTCAAAATTTTATGTTATTTAAGCTTTCTTGAGTTAATATTTGCTGATTGTCAACAGACATGTGGGGCTTTTTGATTCCAGTTATAATAACAATAATTTTTGTTAATTAAAAATAACCACTTGTGTTTTATAGGGTTTCAGCCTTTTAAAAGATTAACAAACTTGAAATGCTTATATGCTCTTAATGCTATGTTCATTGGGAACTGGAAAAGGAAAGACTGCTCCCAGAGTATATTTAGCTAGGAAGTCAAGCATGAAATACATGATAGTCTCATGCATATAGTATGTCTTCTGTCTAACAGCCCCATCTATGGTCTGTGGTCTCTAAAGACTGCAATTCTGCCTCTGACTTCCACCCTGCAGGCCTGTCTATTAGAGCCACCAGGCAAAACAACTCAGAAGCGAGATTATCCTTCACTATGGTTTTTTGATAGAAAGAAACTGTTTTGGGCCTTGCCAGATCCAGGTTTCCTCCAGGAAATGATCTCTAGTATTAATTCATGTCAAACTGGGAAATTGCTCTAATGATTTCTTCCTTCGCCACTACCATCTTTGAAACAAATCAACTGCATCAACCTAATATTAATACTAAAAAGAATTAGGATGTGCAAATTCTCAGACTTATTTTTTTTGGTAATAGCCAGTTAGGCAAAATTTTTTATGCAGAAACACACTGAATAAAATCTGATCTATGAACACTTCGAGTTTTAGATTTTTGTAATTTTCACCTTTTCTGTTTTCTTTTATATTCTTAAGGACTTTTAAATGGTTCTAATTTTGCTGTTGGTGTTGAACAAATAATTTCATTTATTTTTGCCAAGGCTACATTCAAATTGGGACCAAAGAGAAGCTCAAGTAGACTTCAATGGAAAGCCAGCTAAAGGGTTATATTTTATAGAGACAGTATTATGCTTACAGATGAACTGATTATTTTACTCTTGCCCCTCAAACCTCAATGACTCCCTATTACCTCTGGAATTAAATGAGAACTTTTTACCCCCAATATTCAGGTCTTTAGTATTATTCTAGCTTATATTTCCATCCTTGCTTACATTCTAAGGAATGGAGCTGTCTGCTTTCCCCCAAATATATATTCTATATTTTCCTTCCTTGAGTCTTTGCTCTCTCATTGAGAGCAAATTTCATCTCACTGAAATGCTACCCGACTTTCCTGTTGAAAAGCTATTTATCTTTCTCCATTTAGTTCAAAATCTGTCACCTTCCTGGAACCCATAGGGATTCCTCATTTGTTTCTCTACTCTAGTCATCTACTCTTCCCTCCCAGTTTCCCTCTCCCAAAGTAAAAAGTAACTTTATAGGACTTATTTTCCTTTACATGTGGTTATGTGTGTTTGTATATCTCTACTAGATTTATAAGTTTCCTGAATATAGGAAATGTTTTACTTATTTAAAAATTACCTATAGTACTTTGCATATCACAAGTGTTTGATACATGTTTATCAAGTTGAATTCAAATGGAGAAAGGAAAGTGCTTATTCCAGAATCAGAGATTATCCCTTGTTGTTATTTACTCAGAATGGAGATAAAATGGGCACAATATTTAAATTATGATTTGTTATAATTTGTTAAATTATAATTTGAATTATTGGAAAACAGTTTGGTATAACAATTACAGTCATACCAAAGAATATAAAGCAGAAAGTGAAAAATTGCTTGTCATCATCCCACAACCTAGAGATAACCCCTGTAAACATTTTAGTAAATATCCTTCCAGACTTCTTTTCTAAGTGCACATGTAAAAGAAACTTCAAATATAAATTGAAAGACTCAGAAAGAGACTCTGAAATAAAATGAAAGTAAATGAATATCAACATGATGGAAAAAGCTGACTCTAGGGGTATGTGGAAGCCCTTGCAGAGAAAGTGACATTTAAGATGCCTCTGAAAGGCCAATGAGTAGTTTATAGGCAGAGAATGTGGAAGGGGAATATTGGGCAAAGGGACTAGCATGGCCATAAGAATAGAAGTTTTGAAAGACTATGATGTGAAGAGTAGAAAGTAGTTTGATTGTACTAGAGCTCAAGGAGTTCCCTGTGTGGGAACTGGTATGAGAAAAACCACGAAAGAAGGCTGAATCTAGTTTTGAAGGTTATTGTATTATGCTGAGGTGTTTAGTCTTTATCCTGAAGCTGGATTCTATCTGTGCTTGAGAGTATGGATGGTATGGGGAAGAAAGGCTGAAGAGAACGTGACTAGTAAGTAGCTTATTGTAATAGCTCAGGCAGAAGATGATGAGAATCTTCGGAAAGGCAATGACAAAGGCAATGAGTATACATGGGAAGAGTTAGATCTGAGAGATATTTTAGCAATAGGATGAAGTATAGTGGAAATAGCATGGAGGCAGTTTGGAGACAGATGCTCTGTATTTAAGTACCAGCATTATCTACTACTTATTAACTCTACAATCTTAGGCAAATTAACTACTCTGTGCCTCAGTTTGTCATCTTTAAGACAGGTAATCTTTCAGTCTATATGAACTCTATAGAGCTGATATAGAATAAATGAAATAAAATATTTAAAGTGTTAGGGCACTCAAAACCTCTATACAATGTTGTTATGATTTGAAAGAAAGGGAAAGTAATAAATAGCATTGAGGCTTCTAGTTGGCTTGGTAGTGGGGCTTAGAGAAGATTACTGGTGAGTTTGGTTTTGGACATATTAAGTTTGAGCTACATTTGGGATATCTAGATTGGGATCTCCAGGAGGCAATTGGAAATATAGATTAGAGCTCAGACAGAAATGACATATGACAGATTTGAAACAATAGCTATGAGAAACTGAATGGCAACCCCAAATGGACAGTGTTGTCTTCCTTGTCTCCTGCCAGTGTCCTGCACGTCTCTCAGATTCCGAGAATGAAGAACCTTCCCGAGGCAAGATGACACAGACGCATCGCTCGGCATTTGTTTCCAAGAACAACTCCTACTCCTTAGCTTTCCTGGCAGGGTAAGAGACTGATACTGAATTCAGTCAGGGTTCTTTCGTTTTGGGGGGTAAGACAAAAGGGACTGGGGGAGCAAAAGTATTTGTCGTAGCTACTTTGGGGGAAGTAGGAGTGTAGAAAAGAAGTGGGAATTGGTTTTCAAATATGGATTAGGGATAAGGGGCTGACCTGAATTTTTAAAGAAAAGTAAATTTTACCCATTTCTGGTATCTTCAGGGTAAGACTGTGCTAACTGCTCGGCTGCAAAGTGTGAACTTTCCATCCTGGGAGGAACCGATAAGGCTTTTCTCAGCTGACAATATCCATGGGTTCTCTCTGTGGACTTTTTTCTCTTAGGAAGTGAAGCCAAAGTTGATTTTATTTTCAGTGCCTAGAACTAAAATATATCTCGATGGGTTTCAAGAGGGCAAACTGAAAAGTTTTTAAGACCTTTGCCAAGGAACCTCTTGATCCTTTAGATTTTGCAGGCTTTGGGAAGGAGAGGAAGTGGACTGGATGTTGGATTATTGGGGAAAATAAAGGGCTAAATGAAAGGAAAGGAAGGAGTAATAGAAGAAGGTAGGAAGGAAGCAATCATTAAACAGACGTTTTGTAAACAGCTACTATATGCCATGCTGTTTCAATATAAAGATGATTCAAGACAATCTTTACCCCATTTCATTACCATTTTTGTTTATAGCTGATATTGCTCACTCTCATTTCTAGGGTCCCTCTCTTCTTTCCCAGCAGCACTGTGAAATAGTGCTGCCCCTATGCACATATACCTGGACTCTTTTTCTCTTCTGGTTTATAGCTAGTCACTAATCACTGTGACCAAAACAGCTACCAAGTTTAATAATGTTATGAAGTATATACTATTGTAATCCCTGATGTAGTTTTTGTATCTGAATCCTTTTTTGGTATATATTCTTTTTTGAGCAGTCCGATTTCCTGTTATTTCTGAGAATAAAATTCACAACCTACCTCCCACCCCCTCCACCTTTCCCTTAAAGCTCTCTCCTCT